GAGTCATTGTGAGGATCAGAATGGGGGTCAGTGTCAAACCCAGGATGAAAAGTCAAGAGTGTGGCAAATTTGCATAGTCATGCTTGGGAGGAGGGTCAGGGTCAATTCCAGGATCAGGGTCAGAGTCAGGATCAGAGTAGGGTGTCAACCTGAGCCAGGGTAAGGTGGGGTTGGTGTCAGAGTCAGGCTGAGAGTCTGGTTCGAGTCCAGCATGAGTTTCACATTCAAGGCAATTTCAAGGACATAGTGAAGGTATGTGTGAGAGTCATTGTAAAGTCAGGGTCAGGGTCAGGTAAATGTCAAGTTTGTGGTCATCCTGACAGTCATGATAAGGCTGAGATTCAGGCTAGGGTAAAGGTCAGGTTAAGTGCTGGTGTAGGGTTAGCTTCAATTGCAGAATCAGGGTAAGGATGAAACTGAGGGCAAAGGTGAGTGTGAGGGTAAGGGTGAGAATTAGATAGTGTCTAAATGAGAATCAGGATCACAGTCATGGTGATTGTCATGATCAGAAAGACACAAGTTAAGAGTGAGTATTAACCCTGGCTGGTGTGGCTCAGTGGATTGAGCACTGGCCTGGGAACCAAAGGGTCATCGGTTCAATTCCCAGTCTAGTGTTGCAGACACCATCCTACAGTGTCTGCGGTGTTATGGATGAGACAAGATAAATTCACATGGACTACCGAGTCCTGTGGAGGAAAAGGGATGGCACGGCTACTTTCTCAAGGGGAGAGCGCCTCAGAGTGACCTGGCCACTTGGAGCGGCCAGACCCTTGCCTTGACAAGCTTTTATTGGCTTTCTAATAGCATACATCAAAGGTTTTCATTCATTATACTTAGGTTTGCTTTAGGTAATTATTTTGTACAGATAGCAACAGAAGGGATGTTACTGATTACTTCTTACAGATTAACAAGGAAAAAATTTTGCAAATGCAAGGGAATGATAAGAGTAACAGGTCTGGTTACATTTCAATCCTTGGCAGAATTAGCACAGACTTCAGGAAGTTACTTTAAAGACATGCAGCAAGCATTTGCTGCCTGAACTCAGGGTGAAAGAGTTTTAGCAAGAGTAAGTCACAAAGCAGCCTAGGTATAATGCAGGCCTGATTTCCCACAGGAGAACTTCACGGGCGTGGTCCTGCATTCCAACTCACTCCCCACTGGTTTTCCACGTGGGTGCTGAGCTGCATTTCCATGCCTTGCAAAGCAGTTCCCTACAGTCTAGGGCACATGCCTGAGTTGTGGGCCAGGTCCCCAGTGGGGGATGTGCAAGAGGCAACCACACATTGATGTTTCTTTCCCTTTCTCCCTCCCTTCCTCTCTCTAAAAAAAATAAAATAAATAAAATCTTTAAGAAAAAAAGAAGAGTGAGCATCACGGTGAGGTTTAGGTATAGAACAGAAGTAGCACCAGAAATAGTACCAAAATGAGTGTGAGTCAAGGTGAGAGTGCATATATACCTCAGGGTCAGAGTCATGGTCATGATCAGTGTCTGGGTAAAACTTAGGATCAGAGTCAGGATCACGGTGAGAGTGCTAGTGTGAGCATTGACTAAGGGTCAGGTGACTAGAGGTTCAGTGTCAGTGTGAAAGCAAGGACATGATGAGGGTCAGGGTGGGGTTAGCATCACAGTAGTGTGATCATTATACTGAAGTCATAGTCAGGGTCCATGTCAGGTTGAATGTCATGTTGGTGTAATAGCCAGAGTCATTTTGAGGGTCCAGTTCAGGGTAAGTGTGTGGAAGCAATTCAAGGTCAGGGTAAGGTTAAGAATCAATGCCAAGATTATCATCAAGGGAAAGTCAGGGTGAGGGTCAGAGTCAGCATCCTTGTTTCAGGGTCAGGGTGAGATTCAGTTGTGTACAATGAGAAGTTAAGGGTCAGAATCTAAGTCAGACACATGGTAAGCCATGAGGGCCAAAGTCAGGTTAGGGTCAGAGTGCTTATGTGTATCAGGCTCAGAGTCAACTTCAGAGTCAATGTTTTGTCAGGGTTAGTATCAGGGTCAGGTTGAAGATCAAATTCAGTTTAAATTTTGAAGGGTGGGGAGTTTAGAATCAGAGTTAGAGTCATATCAGAGATCAGTCTGAGGGTGAGTCAGGGTGATTATCATTGTCAGAGACATGGTCAGTATCATCATCAGACTGAGGTTCTGAGAGAAGGTAAGTGTCAGAACTGGGTGAGGTTGAAGCTCAGACCAAGGTCAGGAGGATGAAGATAGGTTCAAGGACAGAGTGAGAATAGATTCAGAGCCCAGTTCAGGGTCAGGACCAGGTTGGTCAGGTTCAGCATGCAGTTCAGAGTAATAATCAGCTTAATGGTCAGCGTAAGGGTGAGTGTGAAGGTCTAGACCAGAGTAAAGTTGAACATCAGTATTGGTTTAGATTCAGTCTGCAGGTCCGATAAGGGTCAGGTATACAATGAAGTTGAAGGTGAGGGTCTGAGGCAGGTCAGGGTATGGATGAGGGACAGCACAAATGTCAGATTCTCAGTGACAAAGGTCAGATTGAGGATGAGTGTCGCGGTCTGGGTTAGAGTCAGAAAGAGGGATATAGTGGGGTTCAGAGTCTTTGTCATGTTCACAACCAGGGTCACAGGAGAGGCAGATTCAGGGTAAAGGTAAGGTTTGGGTTGAGGGGCAGGGGCAGTGTCAGGATAAAGGTCATTGTCAGGACAGCTTGAGAGTTAAGGTCAGCCATCAGGGTCCCAGTGGTAGTAGTGTCAGGATCAGCTTCAGGGTCAAAGTCAGAGTGTTGGTCAGTGTCAGGCTGATGATCACAGTGAAGCTAAGGAACAGGTTCAGAATCAGAGTCAGTGTGTGCTTAGGGCCTTAGTTAGGACTTGTCAGGGTCAATAAGAGTGAAGATAAAGGTCATGATTAGGGTCAAGGACATGCTAAGAGTTAGTGTCACAATTAGTAGGGTCATAGTGAAGATCAATTTCAGGGTTAGGGTCAGGATAAGATTCAGGTTGAGGTTCAAAGTCAGGGTAAAAGTTTGGGTCAGGTAAAGTTCAGGGTCTTCAGCATCAGGATCAGTTGTGAGGGTGAAAATGAGAGACAATGTCAGTGTGAAGCTCATGGTTATTGGGAGGGTAAGGGTGTCTATATCATGCTCAGGATAAAAATCAAGTGGGATGGGGTGAGAGTCAGGGTGAAGTTAAAGGTGAGGTTCAATTTCAGAGTCAACCCTAGGGTCAGGGTCAACATCAGAATGAAGATAAGGGCAAGGTTATGGCTATAATATTTCACCTTCTGTTTACAATCTTATTTCAAGTATTAATTCAGGTATGTTGACAGGTACTGCTGTCAAAGTAAAGGAAGCATTATGCTTCCTGCTAACTCTGGTTAATTTTTCTGTAGAAACAATAATGGACTTAGGGTACTCACTGGTCCAGTCATTTAATTTTATTAATATGAGCCATCAGATGCTGATGGTTCATACTATATCTCTGAAAAATCAAAATATTCCAAATTTTACTTCTTTGTAGATTCAAGACCAGATGCTTGGGTAATCAGCATGTGAAAACATGCAGTGAAGTTTAACAGGTTTCTGTCCTTAAAGTTTGTTTTGGAATTTTTCAATTTCTTACAGCTTTGAAATGGTTAGAATGAAATTTAGATGTTGGACTTCCCATTATACTACAACATACCTGATAATTGGTCATCTTCCTTTGTCTGAGCATTTATGAAATCATCAGCCCACAGTTCCAGAGGCTGGATGGTTCCACATTTATGGGAAGTTTATCTTCATTAATTGAGCCAAAGTGGCTTCTGACCATTCTTTTCAGATGCACCTTGTACAGCACTGGAGCAAATCTAATGCTTTTTAAACAGGGTTCCTTGGTCCCTCTGCTCCACCCCTACACAGTAATCAGGTCTTTTTGCAAAGGTGATGCTATTGACTATTGTCCCACCTCAGTAGCCCTGGGTCTCCATTAATGGCTAAGATTTGGGGGGGCGGGGAGGGTGCAGTGGGAAGGCCCTGGCCTCCACATATGCCACCAATCATACTTCAGAGGTGCTGGCTTCCTGTCTCCCTGGGAGGCCGAAATTGTCTTGCTGGGTCTGGGGCTACCTCACACTGGTTCGGGGCACTGAGCAAGTTCCCTTTGGACCTTGAACCAGACTACAGAGACCCCAAAGCCAAAAGACAGAGGTGGGAGTGCACAGATACGAAATGAAGGCTTGCTGAAAGTTGGGATGAGAAAACAAGCCCTCTCAGCTCCAAACCTTTCCTGCTAAAGAGGCAAAATAGTAAATGGCCCTAAGAGAGCCGAGTTCCCTCCTTGGGTGCGCTGGCCTGTGAGATCTGCCCCTCCTGCCCTCCACCTCACACCCTCCCCCCTCCCCAGCCCTACCACTCTTGGCTCCGAGGCTTTACTTAGAGATAGTACAATAAGCGGGTCCCTCGTTCTAACAACTTCATTTTGTTTCTTTTTTTTAAAGCTCATGAGCCTGGTTCCACCACAGAACCCTTAAAATAAGGAAGCTTAAGGTCTGGAGGCCAAAGAGAAAGCAGGTCTAGCCCGGGGAATGACAGGAAAAGGATGAGTCTGCAAGGAGGTGGGGTTGGGGAACATCTGCCTCCAATCCCGGTATCTGGGACTAAGGAATGATGAAGCCAAAAGTGCTCTCTCCTGAAAAATAAGGGATGTATTAAGCAGTGCAGGAGATTGGAAAATTGAGGTGGGTGGACTCTTGCTTGATTCCATCTAGCGCAGAATGAACAAGACTGGGAGACCTCCAATTACTGTCTTCTAGACAAACATGTTACTGGACCACAACTTATGGAGAATTTCTATCTCCCTCTTTTTTCAGTGACCCCTGTCCCCAGCACGTTCTTTTTAGTGCCTGTCTCCCTAGCCCCTCTTTCAGGCTATTTTGGTACTTCCCAGTGGTTACTTTATTAAATCTTCAAGATCATATCTAGGAAGCAGAACTGAAGGAAAGGCACCAACTGCTTCCACAAGTCAAGGATGGACAACCAAGGAAAGCTAGGAAGACAGCCAAACCAGTGTTGGTCTTTATTGAGGTGTCAAGGTAGAGTAACACCAAGGAGCAGAGCCTGAGGACCTGAAGAATACAGACGCAGGAATTAAGGGTTTCTTTAAAATGCAGGCCCCAGTCTCCGGGCTAGGAGAAAAGCACTGGGTGATTTGGGTGCTCACAAGGACTTTAGGAATGCCCTATATTTGTCCAGAAAAGGGACAGACAGAGTCTTCAGCTCTTGCCGAAGTTCCTCCAGAGCCCTGTCCTGCTCTTCCTGCTCTCCTGTCACCTGCTGCCTGTAATAGTTGATGTACAAGTTCACCCAGTCATCCACTATAGTCACCATGGCTTCTTCAGAGACAACAGGTTCACTGAAGACCTGGAGTAGGGCAGGGAGAGAATGTGATTAGTGATGTGAGTCAGCAGTGACCCACAAACTCTGCCATCCTCTTTCCTCTGGTTTGTTTTCCTGTCTCTAGTTGTTTCTATCAACTCTCCCAGCTCCAAATTATTCTCCCTTCTCTGCCCTCACCCACCCTTCAACACACTAGTCCTGTCTTCTGAAACGGATTACTTGGACTTACCTGCTGATTAAGCAAAGCATTAAATTCCTTTATTCCTGTGGAAATGAGATCTTTATTAGCCTGAAGAAGAGCCATCTGCCTGTTTAGAGAAAGAAAAATTTAAGTATTCTTTTCCCTCACCTCTGGGTATTTCCCATAATTCCCTCACTCCACTTAAAGATTCCTGGTGCCCTGCAAGGTCACCTCCCCTCCAATACCTTTCAAATCCTACCCTGCTCTGAAATCATGTTCCTCCCAGGTTTGCTCACCTGTAGGTCTGGCAGTGCTGTTATGTCTCACCCACACTTTTCAGGGTATGTATGTCCCTCTGTGCCAAGCTAGATGTAAGCAAGGAGTTAAGTGTCAGTCTAAGAGGAAAACGCCCTGCATCTAGGTCCTGAGGAGGAGTGATAGTCAACCTGGGGAGGAGAAGGAGGGAGAGGCTTCCCTGAAATGAGAAAGATAGCAAGGCCATGAAAACAGATAAGTGGAGAGGCCCAGGAAACCAAACCAGGGCCAGATCCTTGCCCTCTGCCCCACACCACAGGATCCAGGTTCCAAATGCTCACAAAACTAAGATTAACTGAGTTTACTCTACCAGTTCATAGATGATATATTATTAACAGCTTACATTATTTTTACCATTGATGCCAGGTACTGTTTCAAGCATCTGTTAAGGTATTTATCCTTATAAAAAATCCTACTAGGCAGCTACTAGTTATGTCACAATTTGCAGATGAACCATCTGTAAGACATGGGGACTGAACTCTCTCTACCAGGCTGTGTTCTGCAAGAAGGGAGATGTAGCTGTTTTGTTCTCTAACATCTAGGTACTCAGCAAAGTAGAAACACTCTTTTTCTTCTTTTAAATGTTTTCCTAATGTTTGCAAGTTTTAGATGTTTTTCAAATTCCAAAACACTACACTGATTCAGATGAGTGAGACATAACAAAAAATGTACCCTGAAAAAGGTGATTGTTTTTGTTCCCTTCCTCTGCAAAGTAACCAGCAGTGAAGATGTGTGTATTTCCTGTCACATCTTTCTGCATTCAAAAACCAACATTTAAAGTTCACAGAACCTATACACTCATAGATATCTATTGATTTTTTTCATTTATAGCATTTTCTTAGCATACAGCAAAATTGACCACTTTTTGGTGTATAATTTATGGATTTTAATATATAGATTCATGTAACCATTACCACAATCAGGATATAGAACATTTCCATCACCTCAGAAAGCTCCTTCCTGCTACCCCTTTGTGGTCACCTCCAGTTCCCTCACCAAACCCTACCAAGCACTGATCTGTTCTCCATCACAGCAGTTCTGCATTTTGGAGGATATCCTATAATGGAATCATATAGCATGTAACCTTTAGGACTGGCTTCTTTCACTCGGAATAACACCTTTAAGATTCATCCAAGTTGTTGCAAGTAGCAGTGAGCATTCCTTCTCACTGCTGAGCATGCCTCCTGTGGACACTCCTGTTTATCATTCACCCACAGATGGACAACTGGATTGATCACAGTTTGGGGCAAGCATAATAGAGCTGCTATAAATATTTGTGTGCAGATTTTTGTGTGAATATGTTTTCATCGATCTAGGGTAGAAACTGTCTGTTGCCACTAGGAGAAATAATTGCAATAAAACCTGACACAGATTTTTAAAGGAATAATGTGACAATACTCGTTCAAATTAAAATATACATGCCTTTCAACCCAATGATGCTGCTTTGGCCTCTATTTTAAAGAAGTGTTGGAAAAAAGTAAAAATAAAGAATGCTCATAATCAATGCACAAAAAGGCTTGTACAAGGAGTTTACCATGCCAGTCTGTAATAATGAAAAGGCAGAATCAACCTGAAGGTCCATTAATATGGGAGTCTAAAGAAATTTTGGCACATTTATACAAAGGCATGACACGCATCTATTAAAATAAATAAGCCCTGAGTGGTGTTGCTCAGTTAGTGGAGCATCGTCCTGCAAAGCAAAAGGTCAGGGTGCATGCCTGGGTTGTAGGTTGAGTCCCCAGTTAGGGCATGTAAAAGAAGCAACCAATTGATGTTACATAGATGTTTCTCTCCCTCTTTCTCTCTCTCTTCTCCCCTCTCTCTAAAAAGGAAGCCCTGGCAGGCATATGGTATGGCTCAGTGGATTGAGCACTGGCCTGTGAACCAGAAGGTCACCAGTTCAATTCCCAGTCAGGGCACATGCCTCAGTTGTGGACTGGATGCCCAGCTGGGGGGGTGTGAGAGGCAACCACACATTGATGTTTTAATCCCTCTCTTTCTCCATCCCTTCCTGTGTCTCTAAAAATAAATACATAAAATCTTTTAAAAAATTAAATTAAAAAAATTAAATTCGCCCTGGCTGGTGTGGCTCAGTGGATCAAGCACTGGCCTGCCAACCAAAGGGTCACCAGTTAGATTCCCAGTCAGGGCACATGCCTGGATTGCAGGCCAGGTCCCCAATAGGGGCGTGTGAGAGGCAACCACACATTAATGTTTCTCTCCCTCTCTTTCTCCCTCCCTTCCCCTCTGTCTAAAAATAAATAAAATCCTTTAAAAAATTTTTTTTAATTTAAATTTAAAAATAGTAAAATAAAATAGACGGAGTAGATACATAGGTGCTGATATGAGAATATCTCTAAGACAATGAATGTTAAATGAACTATATAGTTGGAGGAGGCTATCCCAGGCAGCAAGTGTGGGGGATGAGAACAGAGATTAAGTATAAAAGTCTCTTTCTTGCTCACTCTGTGTAGAATGGTAAACTATTTACTTTTTGGGATTGACTGGCATTTGTTGGGAGATAAATGTCAAGGGAGAATTTTACCTTATCTCTGTATTATTATCTGAATTATCTTACAGCATGAATATATTCTTCTATTATTTTTTGTAATTCTTAAAAAGAATAAAGAAAGAAGAGGAAAATAGTGTAGTTCTAAAATCATTAGCCTCAGATGTAAACCCTGCCTCTGGTAACCACAAGACCAGCGGCTGCTCACTACATATTTGTTGAAAGAATAAATGAATGAATGCTTTCACCATTTTTTGTTTTGTAAATTTGAACTGACTTCACATATAGAAGCCTCAGTTTTGTCTGTAAAGGATGAATAAAAAAAACCTACCTTACAAAGGCTATTTAGAAAATAAATTTATTCAGTCCACAAAGAGTATTTCGTACCCACCTTGTACAGACACTTGTATAAGGCCCTGGGAATATATCAGTTCAAGAGACAACACTCCTGCCCTCCTGGAGCTTCTGTTCTAGTTGGGGAAGTAAGAGGGTAAATGATGAGCAACAAAGTCTGAGAGGTAGGCAGGGCACATATCTGTATATGGGTTCTTATGGACCGCTTTGTGGGCCTTAAAGAAAAGTTTGTGTTTTATTTTCAAGTGTGAAGAAAAGCCATTGACACTATTATCAATAAGACAAGAAATAACAAATGTTGGAGGAGATGTAGAGAAAAGGGAACTCTAATACACTGCTAGTGGGAATGTGAACTGGTACAGCCACTATGGAAAACAGTGTGGAGATTCCTCAGAAAATTAGGAATAGAGCTAGCCTTCTTTATGATTCAGCAATCCCTCTTCTGGGTATCTACCCCCCAAAGTTTAAAACATGTATCCGTATAAATATATGTATCCTTATGTTCATTACAGAGTTATTCACAGTAGCCAAGACATGGAAACAACCAAAGTGTCCTTTGATGGATGACTATATAAGAAGATATGGTACATATAAACAGTGGAATACTACTCAGCTATAAGAAAGGATGAAATACTGCCATCTGTGACAACATGGGTGGATCTCGAGAGTATCATGATAAGTAAAATAAGTCAGAAAAGGACAAGAACCATATGATTTTGATATACAGAGATCTGATCAGATTACCGGGGAGGAGGAGGGAGAGGCCATAGGAGGAAGCAACAGTAAACAGTCTAGGACGGGATTGGCTGAGAAGATGAATGCCTCCAGAGTGCCTGGAAGTACAGGCTAAAAGATTTGAAATAAAAGAAGGGCTCTCAGGCTCCTGGACTGGCTGTCTCCAGCTCTTGGGCTTGCTCACTGGCTCATTCTTCCTCAAGGATGCCTGCGGGATTGTGCTGCAGCTGCCTGTGTTTCCCAACAGATGGTATTCTGGATGGGAAGGAACTCCTGGCATAGCCCAGGATCAGGCTAGCCCGGCAGAGCGGGGCAGGGTTATTCTCCTTCAGGTGTTCTAGAGGGAACAAGCTCTGAGGCAGAAGCCTGCCATTCTTCCAAAATTGTGTAGCTTTTGTGTCTTATGTTGTTTTCATTTGTAAACTAACCCTATAGAAATAAGATAATTAAAACTAGCAAGGCATGCTAGGAGAACTCAGTTAAGAGTTTAGCCTTAATTGATAGGCTTATGAGACTAATGCATGTAGGAAGCAGTTATTCTAAAATTGTGAAGCTTTGGAATAAAGACTCTTTTCCTTTATCACCAAACCTTTGCCTCTAGAATTTTGCCTAGAGGGTGGCAGCGGGCAGTGGGACCCCACCTGCTTGTTCAGTAACAATTTCACTCCCGTGGAATATAAAACAGAAAATAACTAAAGAACAAACAGAATAAACGAACTCACAGACACAGATAACAGTGTGGTGGTTACCAGAGGGGAAGAGGGATGCAGGGAGGATTAGGAGGGAAAAGGTGTCACCAAATACGTGGTGACAGAAGGAAACGAGACTTTGGGTGGTGAGTGCACAATGCAATGTACGATGATGTGTTATAGAATTGTACACTTGAAACTCATGTAAAGTTACCAAGATCATTCTAATACATCTAATTAAAAAAAGAAAAACCACTGAGGGATTTGAAGGAGAATGTTACAAACTTCTTCCGTAAAAGTAGTAGGTAGCCCCTGAAAGGTTTTAAGCAGTGGGATTTTAAGCTGTGTGAAGAGTGGACTGTAATGGGTGTTGATCATGTGGGGGTTCAGAACAAGTCACCCCAAGGTGTGCCTCTGTAGTATCAGTTTGTTTTAATCTAGAGGCAACCAAAACACTGTGAGCTTGAGAGGAACTTCTGCCTCAATTTAACTATGGAGTAGGGGTCCTGCCCATAATTAGAGATCATCAGAGATAACATTATTAACCCATCTGTAGGGCCGGGGACTTCTGATTACTAAACGTCTGTCCTTCTCACCATCCTTCAGTAACCCTCTGAGGACCTTACCTAATCCTTACTCAGAATGTCACAGTAGTACACGGTGGATGAAAAGGGGTGCTGTAATAAATCATAAATTCCTACCTGGGCAGATCGGAGTGGGTAAAGAACCATGGAAGTTCTTCAGTGAAAATTCAGGCAAGCCCTGCCCATCGTCATTGTGCATCTTGGTTAACTCGCCTTGGACGTGCTCCAAGATGACCTTATGAGGTTACTTGCCATCACTGGACTTACCAGTTTTATTACAGAACCTCTTTTTTCATCCACAATAGCATGTACTATGTGCCAAACATAGTTTAAGAACTTCACATTCATATGGACGAAAAAGGGATTCTACTGAAAGTAACCTCATAAGGTGATCTGATCATAAATTCCTTAACCGCACAGGTCATGGTGGGTGGTGACACTCCAGGCATTTTAACTGGTATATCTTTGCCTTAAGCAAGCCCTGTCCATTTTTTCTGTTTATCTAGGTTAACACACCTTTGAAATGACTCCTTTGTCCTGCACTCCAACTCCTGCCTTGCCTTCTCCCACCTTCAGGTAATTTTCCTATGTTCCTTCCTTTTTTTTTAATTTTGAGAGTATGTTTATTGGATCTGGGGACAGTGAAGCAAGGAAGGGCTTCAGACAGAAGAAGCAACAGGAGAGAGATTAGGTGGGGCTGCTTTGGCTTTCTAAAAATGTTGTGGGAAAGAAGTGAAGCCAAGATGGGGCTGCTGTCAGCTCACTGGAGAGTCAGACAAAAGGTGACCTTGGAGACAGCTTCAGGGGATTAGCCTGGGATGAGCAGATGCCACTGCCCATTGCTCCCCTTGTTGCAAGTCTCATGGGGATTTTCAGAGTCTAGAAGAAAATTTACTCGAAAAAGAGATATGAGCCCCAGCTGGTGAGGCTCGGTGGATTAAGCACCAGACTGCAAACCAAAGGGTCACAAGTTTGATTCCCAACCAGGGCACAAGCGTGGGTTTGGGGCCAGGTCCCAGGTTGGGGACATGCTAGAGGCAAATGTTATGGTAGCAGGAGCAGCCAAAAGGGAAATAAGGCAGGGCCCTCACCATTGCAAACCAACCAGAACTTAATACAAGAGGCTAAAAGCAAAGTCTCACCCATTGACCCAATGATCCTGAGCCTGGTCTGATAAGGCTGCCAAGCATTCCAAGCAACATAAGTAGACTATGATAGTGCAGGGGTAGCCCTTGAAAGTGTGTGTATCATCTCCACTAGTTGGGAAAAGGAAAACCTTGAGACTATGTGTTCATTCCAAGGCCTGGATGAGAGGACAGGGGGACTACAGGGCCCAAAGAAAAGCCCATAAAACAACTTCGATTAACTGCCTGTCTCCTGTCACGTATACAAAATGAATAAACAGAGTCTGGAGCAAGATAAAGATTCAGGCTAATAGACCCCCATACCTACATTTGGGTAGTTGTGTCTCCCAGGAAAGCTGGCACCACCTTTACCCTTCAGTCAATATGTAACTTCTTCACCTCCACCCACCACTATATAAGTCCTCAGAACAAAGGATTCACTCACTTGTCCCTCTTGGGTCTTTTTTACCACATGGGGGCCTCCAGGCCACCTGACTTCTGGCCACCAGGACCCTGGCTGCCCCTCTTTTGGCCACCCAGCTTCTAGCCACCTGGCCTCTGGCCACACTTGCATTTGCTTTCCCATTAGAAGTTAGCACTAATAAACTATGCATGATGCCAGCATGCTCGCTGATCTGTAATTCTTTTCTGCATTGGTGAGAAGAAACAAGTTTCTCCCATAACACAACCACTCACACATCGATGTTTCTCTCCCTCTCTTTTTCCCTCTGTTCCCATCTCTAAAAACAAATAAAATATTTTTAAAAAAAGATTTGAGTGGGCATACCCCAAGGAGAGTGTGTACCCTATGTTCCCTCCTTAATTGCAAATGTATAAAATAAGCTGCAAACTGCATTCTGAGAAGCATTTTTCTCAGTCTGTTGAGATCTTATGTCTAGGAGTATCCTCTGTATGGCTCAAATTCTTATAAAAATTCTCTACAGGTTTGGATGTTCTTATGTAGACACTCATTTAATCCTCATCCCAACCCTATGTGGTAGATACTAATATTATTCCCACTTTACAGATGAAGAAACTGAAGGACAGAGAGGTAAGAAACTTGCCCAAGATCTCACAGATATGAAGTGACAGACCCTGGATTTAAACTGAGGCCCCATCGTGGGATTCATTCACAGAGGTTGGCCTCAGAGTTCCGTACACTCACAGAAGCTAACATTTAAAATATTACACATTTGTAACCCTTCAACTTTTCACTCCAACGATCAACTCAAATTTACAAAAAGAAAATGAAGTCCCCTGGGTCTATCTCAGAGAGGCTCTATGTAGGTCTGAGATAAATTGAGAGGGTAGGAGGGCATTCTAGGCTGAGGTCACACAGGAAGGTGATAGTTTGGAAGAATCAGAAGTTTTAAGCACGGAGTCAAACTGGGAGGGAGTGGGTGTCCAAGAATGCCAGTATGGGGGAGGAATAAACTTTCCTGTACCCTCAAGGCTCTTCTGGCTGGTCTAATCATCAAATAGACATAAGACAGATTAGCAGAAGAAAATAACCAAATTTTATATATGTATGGAAACCGGACCTACATGAGATGTTCAGAGACTCCTACATACAGGCAAGGTTCAGAAATAGAAAAGGGGGATCTAGGTATATAAGACATTTTGAACTAGGGATGGCTAAGGTGTTTTGGAGTTTCAAAGGGTCATTGCAGGATAAGAAGAACAAATGTTTGTTAAGTAAAAGTTTTCCGTGTCATATAGGTAGGTCAAAAAAATTATTGCTGATAATCTTTTCATGATGGGCCAGGCCCCTAATTCAAGTTCTTCTAGGTAGTTAAGGAAGGGGCAGAAGTTTCTCTCGAGCCTGCAGCTGAAATTGGCTTTAGCTCAAAAAAATCCACATATCACAGAAGCGCTCTTTGGTTTACTCTTTCTGAACCCCCACACCAAGTTAAGGAATCGAGATATTTTTTTCTGATAATAAGAGGGCGCTTTTGGCAAATTTCTACATTGGAGTCAGTACATTGCATTAAACAGGAAGGAGGAAGGGAGTAAGAGGACAAGAAAGAAGGGTGAGTTGCAGGGGAGAGAAACAGTCTTAGACTCCCCAACAAACACACAAGAACTTTTTGCCTATCTCTCTTGTTTTCTGACACTACGAACTGCAATCCTTTCATTTTCTCATTCCTGGGATGTCCTTAGGGTCCTTTCAGAAACAATCCTCTTCCAGTCTTGGGGACAGCTGAAGGACAGAGGATTTCTAGTGGAGTTGCAGAGCCGCCCAGAAGAAAAACAAAACCAAACACAAACCCAAAGGGAAGTTGAACAGGGCCTCCTCAGGGAGCATATGGCCCAAATTCTCATCATACATTCGTTCATTTACAAGTATTTTTTAAGCACCTACTGTTATGCGTTAGTTGCCTGGAATAAAGGAGAAGTAAAATGTAGCTATGGGCCTCACAACAAAGAAGGCACCTGGAGCTCAGAAGGAGACACTGACTTGCAAGTCACATAACTAAAAATTCTGTGACCACTAGAATGCCAAGTTTCCCTAGAGACGCTCTCTTTGATGCTCCCCAAAACTGGAAGTCGCGGGCCCCAGAAATGCAGGTTCTGGGACTGTCAGCTGGTCAGACAGTCCCCACTGCCCCCGCAGCCCCGCTACAAAATATTAGAAAAAACAAGGGCCGAGACCAACTCTGGAGTGTGGCGGATCAGCGAGCAGACGCACAGCGGTCACACAGCAATAGCTTAGCTCCCGGGCTTGCCCTAGGACTACGCAGAAGCCGACCGCCCTTTCGCGAAGGAAGATTGCCCCTCTGCAGCCGCCGTAGCCCAGCACGACAGGTTGCCCACGTTTTCCATCAGGCCGGACTACCGGAAGTGATCGGGGATGGCTGGCCACGCCAGTCTTGGGGACCCGCTGTGCTCCGAGCAGTTCGGCTCGCAGGCGGCCCGGGGCTGCTGCGCCGCTGCCGACGGGAGCTTGCAGTGGGAGACCTGGGGGTGGCGCTGGTGGGGGGTCTCCGGGGCTGGTACAGTGAACCCCGAAGGACGAGATGGGGGTGGAGGGGGAGCTCCTGGGACAGCCTTTCCACCTCTCTCCCGTCTCCTGGCTGTGTTCCTTCCTCAGGGCTTTCCTGATAGCGTCAGCCCAGACTACCTGCCCTACCAGCTTTGGGATTCCGTGCAGGTCAGCGGGGCGGCATATAGCCGGGGGTACGCCGAACAGTGAGGGCCACCTCTCCCTCCCCGTTTATGGACTGCAGACTGAGCCCCACAACGGATTTGTGACGAGTGCCAGGTCACACACCAGGGAGCTCTAATATCAGAACTTAGACCTCCATGCCCCTGTGCCCACTTCTCACCCCTTTTCTTTTCTTCTCCAGGCCTTTGCCTCCAGCCTCTCGGGCTCTCTGGCCACCCACGCAGTCTTGCTAGGCATAGGGGTGGGAAACGCAAAAGCCTCTGTTTCAGCTGCCACGGCCACCTGGATAGTGAAAGGTAAGCTGGGCCCCTACAGCCTAACCTATCGCTGCTCTCAGCCCTACCATCTCTGGACCCTTCTTTTTCCTTCGGCTAAGGACCTCAGCCTCTCCTTTACCGCTCTCCCAGTGTTCTGGCCTTTGGGCTATGATCGGTCTAATTATGGACCTATACCTGATTAGGTCAGGGAGCCAGATCTCCCTAGTGCTTAGAATAGTGCCTTGTATCCTGCTAAAGAAAAAATAATAATAAGCGGATTAAGTTTTAAAGGTTTTATTGGCGTTATTCAGTGAGTAGCCACACACTGCTGGAATACTCTGGTCCCCATCCCTCACCAGCCTGCAGCCCCATAGAGTCCCTAAATCATCAGGAGCCCAGATCCTTAACTTAATCAGCCTCTCCCCTTTACGCCTGGGCTCTTTGTGGAGGACTGCATAAGTAAATAAACTGCCAGCTGCCTAGGGTGTGGGAAATAGGTTAGTACTAGAAAAAAAAATTGTAGTTGGTTCTGAGAAAAAATGAAGGAAAGGCATTTTAGATTCTGTAATACTATATGATATTATAAATAGTAACTGTAGTAATCATTTGTTGAATGTGTACAGCTTTTTGAAAAACTACGAATAAAAAATAGATACAGTTTGGTACCATGCCACCTAGAGACTGAAACAGAGAAGAAAAGGGAAACTCCCATGTGCGGGAGCACATCAGAACCCATGGCTCTCTTCACTGTTCTTTGAATTTCACTGCTGTTCCCACTGAGGTTTTAATTAGGCCAAAGTCAGGCTTGCTCTGCTCCTAGCATCAGCCTGACCACACCTCTGATGAGCCTCACTGGATCTTTGGAGAATCAGGAGGCTCCTGCTTAACATCCTTACCATTGGACTGAGCAAACTGACCAAACGTGAGTTACCTCTGGGAAGGAGCTCCCTCACAGTGCTGTGTGTTGGTGGAGAAGTGGTAGTGATCTGCAGCTTGCACAAGCCACGCTCATTATATGCCAACCTTTAAATGTGTTGACCCAGTCTTCACAGTGGCTCTGAGATACGTGTTGTCATTACCTTCATTTCGTAGATGAGGAATCTGAGGCACAGAAATGTAACTTGCCCAGGGTCATAACTGTCATAGTTAAAGGGCATGGATTTAAACCCAGGAGGTGTAGTTCAGAGTACATTTTCATAGCACCGAACTGCTTAACTTAGATCTTTTCCATTGCTCTCCTGTTCGCTAAGTGTCTGGAGTGCAGTAGGAGCCTGTGGTTGATATTTTCATGTCATTTCTAAGCACCCTAGTCTTATCACCAGCATGCTGCCTATATATGTCTTTAGATTAATTTAAAAAAATAAGACCACTTTAAAATATGAAAAAGTATCCATTTAGTTTAGAGCCTGTTGTTGATATAAAAAGCCTTCTTAATTAGAAAGAATTTTACAAATTCATTTCCATCAAACACAGAAAATTTGTATATGAGCTTTATATAAGAAACTTCCTTGGAATTTTTTGATGTGGTCATTTTCCATTACAGATCTCTTAATGGAACAGGATATCAGTTGTTATGCCTAACAGTAGTAATGCTACTAGCAGCTAAGATTTTGACAGTCTACTGTATGCGAGGCATTTTGCACATTTGCATAATACGTAACTTGGTGTCTACAGCAGCCGTATTGGATGGGAGCCATTGTTCATACATTTTTCAGAGGGGAAAGCCAAGGCACAGCAAGATTCAGTGACTTGCCTAAGATAACATAGGGCCAGGATTTGGACCCAAACTGACTGACTCCTGTGTCTCACTCTTAACACCATACTCTTTTTGCCAGTTAGGATTTTAGAGTGGAACTAAGTATAATTTGTGGACAGCTTATCCCTTACTAGAACTCAAAAGTTTCTAGATCTTACAGCTCAAGTAATTGTAAATGAGGCAGAGACAAGTAGGTAGAAATTAAGTTTCCTAGTCTCATGGACAATGTTGAATTTTAGGTAACAGGGAGGATATATGTCATTACTGCGTTCTAGACCCGACCTCCAAATTCCAGTAGGGGCCTTGCAGACTGCCTCTGATGAAGGGTAGAGTAGTTCCTCTTCTGCCAGTGACCCTTGTGTACGGGCACACACCTGTGTGGTTATGAGCACACAGTCAAAAGAAGAAAAATAAGAGTCTGGCCAGTGAGCTATCTCTCAACCAGTAAAAGCAGTCTTGCCATATTCAGAGCCACTAAGTTGATCCAATACAAGAATTAAATGAATAGGGAAAATTTTGTGTAGAATGAAATGTACTTGAAGGGAAGAGGATAAGGTGAGTGATAAAGGGAAGATAGCTTCACGACAGTCAGCCTGACGGGTTTGGCTTCTAGGGACAAAGGAGACAAAAACGGAGAGGTGCAGCAGGCTGGGTGGGAGATGTGTTATACCTGTGCCTCTGCATGAAATTGCTACTGCTCAGCCCCAGCCTGTTATGGCAGTAAGGGAAGGCAGGTCCAATGGTGCTGTGTCTTCAGCTTCTTCTGGAAAAACTGGAAATCCGATTTTTGGTAAAATGTCCCATTTTATTTACCTACCTTCAAGCTTTGTCTATGAAAGGGAATGATTCCTATGAAAATCAGGACTGTGTAAAGATTGAATGGCATATATATTTCAGGTGTCCACCAGAGAGAGTGCTTCGCAATCTCCTTCAAGTCCAGGATTGGGTAATCTAGTTAGAAGGCCTCAGTGCCTACGGATGGAGGCTGCGGCAAAGCATGAGTACATCTGGTTCTAGTGGAGGATGGGGAAGGCTGGTGCGTATCACCACCTTTCTGTGTTGTGAGAAGCTCCCAACCCCCTTTCCACAACCTAGCTTCCCTTCTTGCATCCCCCACTTAAGGGTCCATGCCCTTAAGCTTGAACAAGTTGGGAGACCTCTCTTGCTGTGTCTGTGCTTTCCAGTGCCCACTGTATGAGGCCTTTCCACTTGTTTGGTTCTCAACTGCCTTTTGTGATTCCCCTCCTGAACTTAATGACTGTTAGTCTCAATATAAGGTGTAGTCTAAATAAGGGGTAGGCAGACTTTCTGTAAAGGATCAGATGGTAAATATTTTCCACTTTGTAGGCTGTATAGTTTCCGTCACAGCAGCCTACCATTGTGTCACAAAAACATCCAGAGACGATCTGTTGCTAACCAAAAAGTAAAACACTTTTCAAAGTGAGAGGCAACAAGCATTTATTTGAAATCAATAAGAATAACTGTTTGGGATTCCTGCCTCCTCCTGGACCTTGGCCCTTGGCAGATTGTACCTGCAGGGTGGGGGGCAGCTCACTGCCCCTGCTCTGGCTGCAGTCTGACTCTGAGTGTGGCTGACGTGGCTGGCTCGCTTTTGATGTGAGGCTTTTGCCACTGCTCCCTGTGGCAGTGTTGGCGTTGGTGTAGAGGCCAACCTGAGTAGTGTACCCAGTGAGACATTAAAGATGCAGTGTTTCAAGTTGCCACGGAGCCGCTGCTCAAGTTCCAGATTTGTGTTTCCTGAGGCTCCAGGCAGGTGTTTGAGGAGTGCATGCAGGTTATTAGCCATGGTACCCAGACATCTGAATTGAAGGGGAGAATTACCTCCCTCAAGCAATATATAGATACATAGCACCTTTCCTGTCAGTCTTCAAACTAATATTAATAGGCTTAATAATTGTTGTCAAGGATTCCTTTGCTTTCTTTGGCATGCAAGGCTCCTGGCATCTGGAGGTGGGGCCAAGAAAGTAAGGCCTGTGGATGTAGGATGGTTTTCTCCTTGAGCAGCATGATTGAGAACCAGTCCATGTTGACAGGTCCGTTTGAGATAACTTTGAATGAGGAACCTGTGTAGTCTGAGCTGGAATCTAGTCACCTTCTATCCATGCAACAGCTTATTCAAATTCTTGACAATGAAGTGAAACTCAGTGCGCATATGGATTCAGTTCACATCATCAATTATAGCCCCACCTTTCACCACTGAAAACTTTCACATTAAGGGTTTTTTGCAGGAGTAACGTGACTAATGTTGGGAAGGCCTGTACTGAAGACAGCAAGCTGTTATTACAGACTGAATGTTTTCTTGGCAGGCTCATTTTACCTGTACCTCTTGGAAAACCTCAGTGCAAGACAGTTTTTCAGTGCTGGTACATTTTGGAAGTCTGCACATTTGTAGAGTTCAATAATACTCTACAGTTATTTTTTCTACCCCAAATCCACTCAGTTAATGGTTTGTGTTTTTTTTAATGTAAACATTACTGTTCTGGCTGGTATGGCTCAGTGGACTAAGTGCTGGCCTGCGAACCAGCGAGTTACTGGTTCAATACCCAGACATGGCACATGTCTGGGTTTCAGGCCTGGTCCCTGGTGGGGGACACATGAGAGGTAGCCGCACATTGGTGTTTCTCTCCTTCCCTTTCTCCTTCCTTTCCCCTCCTAAAAATAAATAAAATCTTTTAGAAAAATGTAAACATTACTGCTGTCACCTCTTTTTCCTTAGTTGTATTTGAAAAAATAGCAAAACAAGTTGGAATTTGATTTTTGTAAAAGAAGATGTCTGTTAAATCTTTTGATTTTATATAAATTTTCCTTTTTTTTAGTTTAGAATTGATTTTCTTGGGAACACAACTGAAGTTTTCAAAAACTTTATAAGTTTATCAGACATCTTTAATTTGGTCATGTCCAATTTATATAGGTTTCAAAATACTGCAGATTGGAAGCAGGGCGCTATGCAAGGTTATGGGGGGAATCCTGTGTGCAGAGTGCTCTACCAATTTATGTGTTTGTGTGAGTGTGTGTGGTTTTCAGAGAACTACTAAAAACCAACTGCTTTTTAAGTCCTCTGACAGTTCAAGTGTCGACTTAATCAATCTAATGAGTTGATTAACTGGGCCTTTATATTTAATAAACTAAGCAGCTATGTTAAATAACAATTTTTAATTTGTTGCCCAGTGTACCTATTAACATATTTAACAATCATCCGCTTAAATTTTTGTTTTGGCTCAGATAATTTCATAAGGAACACACTTTAGATTCACACACAACAGATCATTTACCATTTTTAGGATAATTGAAACTCATCTAAGAAAGTTTAGTTGACCGTCTTTACAACATTAATATTGGATGAATGGATGCCACTTGTCTAACTTCACTTGCCTGACATATATCAAAATTTTGTTTTACTTGAACAAAATAAGTTTTTTATTCAGTAAATTTAATATCTTTTGAAGAGATTTTAAAAAACTATTAAGAGTAATTTAGCAGAAATAAAACTATAATGTAGAAAAATAGTCACATAACAGTCATCACATATATTAGCCTCTGTTTAGGAACAGAAGTGGTAGGTCCAAATTTGTTCGTGGAAATAAAGGGATTTATGGAGAAGTTACGAGATAATTCAACATCGGGTCCACCAAACACTTGGCACAACTATGTACTTTCTTTGTCCCTGGGTGTTTTGCTGATTGCATGTCCAGTGATGCTCACGGTTGTGACAGCCTCAAGGTGGAACGTACTGCAGTCTCTAGCTGGGAAAAAGTTAGTCTGCAGAAAAATCTATTAAAATGGCTTATCCTTTTAATTAAGACTGCAGAACTGTTCACCTAAGTTCATATAATGGCAAGAGTCAATGCAGGTCAAGCTGGGAAGTTAGTTACAGGTTATTATTTTTCAGGTGTGATAGCATTTTGTTACCTTTGACTAGGGCTAAAACCTTGATAACTTGATTTGTTCCACCTGGGACTTCGTATCTTCTGCAAGTTGAACACACTGCTGAGCATGTCTAGGGTCTTTCTTCAGCTGATGGACATTCCACTAGTGATAGTTCGCCTTTAGTGTTTAGACCTTTCAGCCTCGAGCCTTGGATGTTCCCATGTATCTGACAGGTCAACCGTGAAGGACCTAAGATTTGATTCTAACTTTCCATGTTTGCCTGGGGTGAATAAATGATCTTTCAGAGGATAGCTTTAGGTGTCTTATATTTTGTTGATGCCCGTCCCAATATTGTTGTTTTATCTTCGGCCATATTCAAATCCAGGGCTTAATGAAGTTAGTGAAAAATTACTGGGAAAGCTGAATAAAAAAGAAAAATTTAAGGGAAAAAGGAAAGTTTAAATGAAGCTAGTTAGAATATAGTTTTGCCTTGGCTTTTGTGGCTTTCAGTTGATTGAGTGCTAGCCTGTGAACTGAAAGGTTGCTGATTTGATTCCCCGTCAGGGCACGTGCCTGGGTTGCGAGCCAGGTCCCCAGTTAGGGGTGGCGAGAGGCAACCTATCAATGTTTCTCTCCTTTTCTTTCTTTCTCTGTTTTCCTCTCTCTGAAAATTAATAAATAATTTTTTTAAAAAAGAACATAGTTTTATTCCTAACATTTCAGAATCTTTTGGTTGGTTACAAATTATGTAGCTCTATAGTTTATAAATGTCTATGTATATATGAATTGGAAAGCTATAGAACATAACAGCTGGTTAGCTAAAGTTATTGGGATTTCTACTGCAATTGCTATTGTGGAAGAAATTAATCATTAGATTAATTTTTTAATGTTTTTTTAAAAAAGAATAACTCTTCAGAAAGCATCAGCCAGAAGCCCAAATAATGTTTCAATTAGGAGACAAATGCAGCAGGTATAAGAAGGGTCAGGGGAGCAGTCACATCAATAGAAGGAAGGTATTTCTATTAGTGCCGATAACATAGTGACGCTGGTTCTGAACAATGGTTTTAATTTGCAGTCATGTAGTCATAATATCTGCTTTCTTATTATCTTTGCAAACAGTTCTTTGAGGCACAAGATTTCTTTAGTCCCAGTCCAAAGATTATTTTGCCCTGTTTTAACATGCCAAAGATTTGAGGCATGAGATGTACAAGCAGTTCCTCTGGGGTGGCAGCTCTGGCTTCATTTTAAAGTGGCTCATTTTGCTTTTTTTTTTTTTTTTTTGACAGTATAAATGAATGGGCACAGCTGTGTTCCAATAAAACTTTATTTACATGGGATGGGAGTAAAAGACAGAAAACAGTACTTGAACAACAATTAAAATTAAAAAAACAACAACAAACCAACAACAAACTTTATTTACAAAAACAGGAATTGGAGCTCACAGATGACAGTTAACTGATTCTGGGTCTACATCAGTGATTTTCATAGTGATTGCAGTTTGCTTTTACACCAGATTTGGAGCCTGGAACCATAACTTTCTGGGTCACTCTGGTATCCCCTATGTCTCAGTGCCCGGCACAGAGTAGGTAGCCAGTGTAAGCATTTATTGTGCAATGAAGGTCTGGCAGATTCCAGAGACTTCTTTTGCTCCCCCTAGCCTGAGGAGGCCGCTTCCTGTGGCCCACATCCCTGCTCTCTGTCACCACCTGCAGTTCAGGTCCTTTTTATTTATTTGTATTCTGATGACCACCTGTGAACCTACTGCCCAACCTAAGAGCCAGAATATCTGAACTTTCCACATGAGATTTCCTGCTTCTTTTGGTGGTTTAAACACTTTATTGTTCAGTTTTATTTTAGAGCTTCATGAAAAGTATGCTGTGCTGTATATAGTCTTCACAACTTTTTCGTGTGAAGTTTTACTTGAATTCATCCATGTTGATGCGAGTGGTCCATTGACTTTTCACAGCAGCTTGACATGCCACTGAATGAATGTACCAGAATTTATCTTGTGCTTCTGTTGATAAGCATTTGCATTTTTGCCAGTGTTTGCTGTTACGAACAGTGCTACAAAGATTATTTCTGGTCCGTGTCTCTTGGTGTGCATGGGTACATAGCTCTCTTGGGTGCATATTGAGCTTAGGAACTACTAAATCTAGGCACTGCTGACCTGTCATATAGCTTCATACAGCTGCATCTGTCTAGAACTTACTGTGCCAGACAGCTCCCATGGATGGTGACCCAAAGCCAAACAGCCATTTCAGTGCTAGGGTCTGCCAGGCCCCAGGGCTCTTCCTCATTCCTCACCAATGCCTCTCTCCCCAGATTCAACGGGCATGCTGGGCCGCATCATCTTTGCCTGGTGGAAGGGGTGAGTCTGTCTTCCAGCTCAGAGGCTTCTGGCCACTCTCCCTAGACAGTAGTTATGTCTGTCTCAACACTGACTGTATTTTTCAGCTTCTCCTACCAGTTTTCAAGATAGAAGAGATTTAGCAATTATATCATTAGAGCTAAGGAGTCTTTAGTTAGAGTACTCAGTACAGGTGGCTCACCCAGGGTCACCTAGCAGTGAATCCACATAGCCATTGCTGTGATCAGATTTGCCTTCAAAAGCACTAACTTTTCACAAGGCTCTGAGTTACCTTTGTTTGCTTATTGGAAGAGAAGACGGACCTGGACAGTGCATAGCCCAAAAGGAATGACGGTACTCCAGAGGCCATGGTGGAGGTTTGGACACTTAATTGGATTTTGCCAAGCTGAGTGGCGAGTGGGCTTGAGCAAGTCATCAGGATCCCTGTCTCACATGGGATCAGTGTCACCACTTCTCTAGAAGGGATTGAGGGTCTTGTGCAGCCTGTTTCCTCCTCGAGTCAGTGCTGGGCAGCCTCAGGAGTGATCGAGTGTCTTCTGTTGATTGTGATTGTGAGGTCCAGTGAGATAGTTTATACTAAGTGCTTAGTGCATTGCATGGCGCATAATATGTGCTCAGTAAACACTAGCTGCTATTAACAACTCTAACTGTGCCTCACAAACTTTTATATATCATCTCTAATTCTTCTAAAAGATTTTAGAGTAGGATTGAATGTGTACATTTTACAGATGTGAAGCAAACCTAAAGAGGAAAGTTATCCATGTCACACAGCTTGTAACTAGTGAGGTAGGATTTGAACCTGAAGCCTGTGCTCTTTCTGTGTTATCAGGTGCTTTGGAAGGCAGAGTCCTAAACCAGGCCTATGGCTCCCATATACCCAGGCTCTTCCTCCTGGACTATTTCCCCACTCGCCCTGTGATCTGAGGGGAGTCATATCCCTTCTCTGGGTTGATTATCCTGGAAAATGCAGGGGGTTATATAATGTAGTTTTTACCAGTCCAAAATATGTGGACTTCTTGCTGCGTACCCTCAAAGCAGGAGGAGGAGGGGGAGAAGGCAGAGGAACCCAAGATAGCCTCTCTCAGCAGAGGGCCGGAGAGTGGGCGCAGCCATAAGACAGTTTTATTCCTTGGTGTGTTGTGGGTTAGTTAGGGGGAAGCACTAAGTGACCACCAAAGTCGTCCCAGCTAATGGTGGCATTTCAGGCAGCAGTGACAGGGTGTCGGGATAGGTGTCTGGCTGGAGTGTGGTTTTTTCTGAGCCCTTCAGACCCTACCATGGCCTAAGGATGGCCAGCACTGCCCACAGGATGTGTTTTCATCTTAAATCCAAATTGCTAACTGACCTTTCCTCCCCAATAGGAGCAAACTGGACTGTAATGCCAAGCAGTGGAGGTGAGGAGCTGGGAGTGAAGGGAGGGGAGTCTTCTGTTACAAACATCTCTTGCCTCTGACCTCTGATCCCTTCCCCCAGACTTTTTGCTGACATCCTCAATGATGTAGCCATGTTCCTGGAGATTATGGCTCCCATATACCCAGTCTGTTTTACTGTGACCATCTGCATCAGCAACCTGGCCAAGGTACCTACACCTCTGGGGCACCCCTATACCCGATATACCCTCCTTAGTGTTGCTGTGTGGGAACTCGCTTGGGGCACACAGGGGAGGCCAGCTTGGACCCTGTGTGCAACACACCTCTAGAAGAGTGAAAACTTTCAAATGTTTCTACTCATACCCAACCATACCTTCTGGTCCTTCTTCAGCTGGACATCCTCTGGTGACTCAGGCAGTTGCAGGAAGTGTGTAGAGCCACAGTACTGGCGAGGGAGCTCTGAGCTGAGAGGTAGAGGGTTGCTCCAGTGCCAACATCTTGGGACCAGCTCCCTGGCTATTTTTCTTTCAATAAAATATTTTTGAGTGCCTAATGCATGTTTGGCATGGAATATGGGCCTTCCCATCTTTGAAAGAAAGCAACACAAAATTAAACAAATATGTATAGAATTACAGCTCCAGATATTCCAGGTGAGAAGTATATGGACAAGAGGGTTCAGCAGGTAATCTGGTTGGTGAGGAGATGGAGCAGGTCCTCTCCTGGGGATGGGTCCTGAAGAATGAGTTTAAAGTGCAGGGTGGGTGTTCTGAGCAGAAAGAACAGCGTGGGTCAAGGTCCAGTGGCAAGACAGAGCATAGAGTGGATGGTGAGGCTAGAGGGGCAAGTGGGGTAGATACAAGCTCTTCATCTCTGTCAGGCTGCTCACCCTCATGGTTCCTTCAAGCTGGTTTCATCCAGGTGAGGAAACTGAAGCCTAGCAAGGTTCGGTGAAGAGTTCAGCATGTCTTAACCACAGGGTTAAGGACCTGGTGCAGACTGAAGACTCTTAAGAAGACATGTCAGACCCATCTCAAAGGCCCACGTATCTGTTTCTCCTCAGGGCACTACTGACATTCATATGCACCAGTTCTTTGTGGTGGAGGACATGTGGCCTCCTGGCCCATGCACTAATGCCTTGAGCATCCTCTCACCCCCCAGGCCAGGAAACCCCATAGAAAATCACTACTGTGAACCAAGGATTGAGACCCCTGCCATGTTTCAAATTCTGCACTACACCTTTTGGGCCTCAGTCTCTTCATACAAGGAAATAGAACAGAGCCATAAACTTACTCCGCCTCACGCCTCTCCCCCAACCCTCTGGAGTTCTGGTCTCAGGGCCCAGCACCTCAGTCCCCCAGGCACATTAACCAAAAGCCTGGCTGTCATCCATGCCTTTTCCTGCCCCCTCACCTGTCACCCTCAGCTAAATCTCGATTTAGTTCTGTTATTTTCCCTCCTGAATCTCTCCAATGTAGTCACTCGTCCATCTCCATGTCACCTTGTGTTTCCTCCCTACTGAAAACACAGCTGCTTCCCCAGTAGTCTCCGCCCCCATTCTCACCCTCTTTGATCCTCAGAGCGGCTCAGTAGTCCTCTTAAGAGTGGAAGTCAGATCAGGTCACCTCCCTGCCCCGTTGCTCTTGGGACAGAGTTTAATAAGGCTTGCAAGATTCCAAGTGACCAGGCCCCTGGTCATTCTTGCTCATTGGTACCACGTTCCTCTTACCTTTGAGCAAACTGTTTCCTCTGTCTACATAATAGCTTGTTTCTTTTTTATCATCTATTGATTTATAAGCTTCCTGAGGGCAGGGGTTGAGCCTGTATTATATCACTTAAATCTGTGCCTGACATCTAAAAAAGGTTTGATAAATATCAGATGAATGAAGGTGATCAGTGACTCCCATCAATAAGCTTAAGATCGTAGAGGGAGAGATCCAAACCTCTGTGGGAGAGTTTGGAGGTCAGGATCACCTTTGTGGGTTTTGAAATGGCCTGGAAGACTTAGATCTGCCTTGATTGGGGCAGGAAGAGAGTGGAGTGTTAGTTGTGGCAAGCAGAGTGCAAGCATAAACTTCAAAACCAGACTGAGCCTGGGAACTCAGCAAGGGGGAGGATGCAGTCAACGTAGAAGTTGGAAGGCAGGGAGTTCTGGGCTAAGAATGGCCTTTGGGCCTCCACCTTGGGGAAAGAAATTGAGTATCCTTGGAGCCGGGTCCACAGAGTGGTGTGGCAGGCAGAACTTGAGTTTTCTCCTGGAATTAGACAGGAGGTGGGTGGAACAGAAGTGCAGAGTGAGAACCAGCACCAAGGACAGCATTGCAGGGTTTTGCTGCAGGGTTGCCTGAGGCCTCATTTTTTTCCAGCTGGGTTGAACCATTTACTCGGCCCACCCACAGAAGTGCTTGTGTTTTCTGAGCTCATGGCCTCTCTCACCTTCATTCCTCCCTTTCCCTACCCAGTGCGTTGTGAGCGTGGCTGGTGGGGCCACTCGGGCTGCACTGACCATGCACCAGGCCCGGAGAAACAACATGGCTGATGTGTCAGCCAAGGATAGCAGCCAGGTGAGCAGCAGAACTGGGGGAGATGGTGCGAGGGAGCATGGGGTGGGTAGGCTTGTCAGGCTTGCTCACAATTTGGGAGTGTGGGCAGAAGCAGCTGAGAGCTCCTCAGGGGAGAGGTGGGAGACATGCAGAAAAATGCGGGTGCTCCCTGCTCTGACTTTCAGGTTAAGTAATCAGGTGTGAGGGCACAGGCTCTGGTGGCAGTAAGTCCAAGCTGATCTTCTTAGCCTTTACCCACTGCCCAAGTGGCCAAGAATGAGCCCGAGCCCTAGCCCTCACTCTCTCTGGGCCACAGCCCCACTCTGGGAGGGGAATGTTCTGATCATGTGAGGCCCCACATGTTAGAGCACTCAGCAAGTCAAAAAGTGCTGGGCTTGTGAGGTGCTGGGGTCACTGACTGGCCAGAGGCATCCACTCAGCAGTTTAGCAGGCCTTCTGGCCCAGCCACTCCCCTGACCAAGGGAGCTCGGAGTAGGGATGTCATCTCCCCTACAGGCTGAAACCTACAGGTATTGGGTCCCCCATAACCCCATGTGCTAAGTGCTTATGTGCATTGCATCATTATCTCTCACACCAACCCTGTATTTGTTGAGCATTAACCATGTATTTCATTTGTATAAACTCCTAAGTTCCTATAGTGCTCTTGTCAGGTGCTATTCACTGTTGTCATTCTGCCAACAATGAAGTGAGGCATAGAGCGATTCAGTTTCCCTGGGTCCCCTCGGACACATCCCTTCCCTCAGGAACTGGTTGGACTAGTTCTTCTCATGATCTCTCCTGTAGATTGTTAGGGAAGAAGACATAAGTACAACCCAAGCCTTGATCTTTAGGATCTCCCAGCATTGTTCCTACCATCTCTCATCTGCTCTTTCCCCAAGCCCTCAGCCCTCCCCCATCCCGAAGCTGTACTTTCCAAGGCTCCAGGGCTTCCTCAATCTGCAGAAGCAGTACCACACCACAGGGGCAACCTGGGACATGTTCAGTCCTGCAGCAGGCCCTTGATTTCTGCTGATGTTGCTGCAAGACAAACTGCTCCCACTAGGGAAGAGGCGGTCCCTCTGCACCTGAGCTCCCAAGGTTTCCAAGGTCCCAGTTTACTATTGCACCCACAGCCTCTATTTCCAGCTCACCTCCTCATCCGGATGGCTGGGTAAGAAAAGCTCTCCAGCTTAAGGTCCCCTCTGTGCCAGGACCAACTCTCCTGAAGACCCCAGTAGTCAGGGGCACCAATCCACATTCCTCCTCCCTCATGATAAATTGGGGGCAGGCAGCCTGGGGTCCTTTCTCCTAGGGTGAGCTCGGTTAGGCCACCTCAGGCCATCAGAGCGATTTTAAATCTTGTGCCTTTCTTCCTAGGCCATAACTTGACCCCTTTGTAAAAGTGTCTGCTATTAATTGCATACCCGGCAGTTACTAGGGGGAATTCAGCCTTTTTTAACCACAAAAAAAAAAAAAATGCTTCCCCATTCTCTGAACATTTCCTTGCCTAAACATAGGGCTACTCAGGTGACTCTTACCAAACAAAGAAAATGTTTTCAAGGGCACTGCATCTGCCTGGACAGAGAAGCAGCTGGTATTTTTTAAATGGCAGCACACTCACTAAAAATGTTAAAAATTTAGTAGGCACCCTCATCAGCGTAGTGAGACCTGGGTGGTTCTGGGGCAGGGAGGAACGTTGTGAAAGGCACTCAAGGCTATTCAGTCTGGCCTGCAGGGGAGTGCTCCAACTCCCAAACCCTCTGCCACCTTCCAGGAGACGCTGGTAAACCTGGCAGGGCTCCTGGTCAGCCTCCTGATGCTTCCCCTCGTGTCAGATTGCCCTAGGTAAGCTGAGAGCAGGTGTGGGATGGAGATGCCCAGCTGGGCCTCTGCCCCTGCTGACCACCTCACCCTTTCATTCCAGCTTCAGCCTCGGTTGTTTCTTCCTCCTCACTGCCCTCCACATCTATGCCAACTACCGGGCAGTCCACGCCCTTGTCATAGAGACCCTGAATGAAGGCCGGCTCTGGCTAGTCCTGAAGCACTTCCTTCAGAGGGGTGAGGTACTTGACCCCACTTCAGCCAATCAGATGGAGCCACTGTGGACAGGTGACCCAACCCCTTGCTCTCAAGTCCTATGTCTCTCAGTCTGTCCCTCTGCCTGGGACTCCTGACTCCAACTTCCCACAGGTTTCTGGCCATCTCTGTCTCTGTCCTTGGGAGTCCCCCTACATCGCTTAATCTCCAGGTAAGTAGCCCAATATCTCCCACTCATCACTACTGGTCTCCCTGCCCCACACATGCGCCTTGTTCCCATTACACAGTGGCCTCCCTTGACCAGGCTCACCTCTGCTCTAGGTTTATTTCCACTGAACAGACGTGGAGTCATTATGGGTGCTTGAGTGCAGCTGGGTGTGTAATGTAGTGAAAATATAAGGGATATATTTTTTAGATGAAGGAAGAATGGGTGGGTGGGGTAAATGGATGACTAGATGTGGAAAGAAGGGAAGGTGGCTGTGGAGTGCATGGGTAATGGCTAAGGGGTAGATGGAAAGTGGGTGAAGGACAGGTGAAGTATGGACAGTTAACAGGTGGCTATTCACTCCTGTCTTTGCTTTCTCCTCCCCCACCGCACTCTTTCCTTCAGTGTCTTTGAGCTGCAGCAACTGGTTGAGGGACACCGAGAACCTTACCTCCTTCACTGGGACCAGTCACAAAGTAAGTGCACCATGTTCTCCCAGCCTTAGGCTCGTCCACCTGGGGTCAGCCTCTCATTCCTCCAGCCCCAGGGCCACAAGCCCTGGATGAGCTCTGGACAGTTTGGAGTTCACCTGGTGTCCTGGAGGGAGCTCTAGACTCAGACTTGATGCATTCGAATTAGAGCTGCATGAGCCATAAAGTTCACTTTACCCCTCTGTAAGTTGTAGCTAATGATACCTGCCTTATTACCTGCAGTGTTTTTATGAGGATCAGATGAGGTGGTTATATAAAAGCAATTTGTATATTGTGACACACTTACTTAAATTAGTTTATGACCTTTAGTTATCTCAGGGGGATCACCTTTCCCTCCCATCCAGAGTCACTTCTTGAGGAAAATAGTACTCGAGTTTACTAGTCTGCTGGTCAAATGTTAAAAGGTGCTTATTCTCACTAGCCATTACAGACATGCAAAATAAACTCACCTTGGTAAGCTGCTGTGAAGTTGCATTTGGAAATTGGGCATTTTGGTTTGGCCAGAGCACTGGGGAGCAATGGGAGATGAAGTGGGAAAGGAAAGGGTGAGAGATGGCCTTCCATGCCAGGCAAGGGCCTCGGGGGGCAGACAGACAGGAATGAAGCAGGTGATGGGGTCGAGTGTCTGGGGAGTGGCCCTCCCTAGTACCAGTCTGTCTCTGGGTCTCCAGACCGAGTACAGGTTGTTCTGAGCCAGATGGCAGGCCCTGAGACCATCCTAAGGGCTGCCACACATGGGCTGCTGCTTGGAGCCCTGCGGGAAGATGGGCCCCTCCCAAGAGAGCTGGAGGAACTGAGGAACCAAGTACGGGCAGGTAAGAGCCTCACAATCTAGACTGTTGATAACTCCAGGTGGGGTGGAGAGAGGATGTTCGGCCTGGGGACTCAAGAACTCCTGGTTCTGCACCCCCATCCAGGTCCTAAGAAAGAGAGCTGGGTCATCGTCAAGGAGACACACCAAGTGTTGGACAAGCTATTCCCAAAGTTCTTGAAAGGTAACATCTTTTGTGCTCCTTGGCCTCTGAGGCCTTCTCCCCAGGGGCTGTACCTACCTCCCATCACCTGGGAGGTGGTGGACCTGGGTTCTCTGTGAGCTTAAGTCTAGGCCTCAGTTTCCCTGTCTGTAGAATGGAGAGGTTAGGATGCTCCCTGAAGCTTTGTCAGTGTTGAGTCTCTCTAATGAATCCCAGCTGGCACTGAAGAACTGGGAGTGAGAGGAGGCTTACAAATGCAGGTGCTGATCTTTAATTTAGCACCTATTCTACTCCATCCCTTTACCATGTGGTAGCTCAATGAATTCTTGCTGTAACCAGATGAGGTTTTAGCCTCATTTTATGCCAGAGATCACCCAGCAGAGGCAAGGGAAGCCTGAGCAGGGCATAAAGCCTCCACCCAGCCTGTGCCGCTCCTTACCCCTCTCTCCAGGGTAAGCCGACTCCTGTCCAGGAGTCCCTGTAGTACTGATACCCCCATGACCTCTCCCCAGGACTGCAGGATGTGGGCTGGAAGACTGAGAAGCACCAGCTAGAGGTGGATGAGTGGAGGGCTACATGGTTCTTATCTCCAGAAAAGAAGGTCTTGTGAACAGCCCACGTGGAGGGCCAGATCCCAGGTTAAAAGCCTGAAGTAAGAACACTTTGACTAGAGCAGAGCATGGGAAAAAGGCAGTTTTATTTTTGCATGGGGACCAGCTGTGGCTGGTTGGCAAGGCCTCAGTACATAACTGCCAATCAGATGGATTGGGCTCCAGGCAAAGACAAATTAGAAGGGGAACTGTGGCCTTCCTCCTTCCCTCCTGCCCTGGCCATGATCATGGTGTCCCAACACAGTTGGCCTCAGGCATAAAAGCCCCAGAGGAACATGGCCACGGCCATCATGAGCAGGGCATTGAAGTTGACCACACGAGCCCATCTTGGGTCCTCACTGATGTCCTCCAGCTGCCTGGTTGCTGCAGCCACCTCCTCCTGCGTCGGGGGTGGGGAACTACCTGGCCCACCCCTGCTCATTCCGCAGAACCAGAGCAAGCATTGGCGAAACAGGCCTGGTGCTGGGGATTGGGACTCTGGGGAAAATTGAAGCCCTACAGTTAGTTTGAGCGAACTTGGCTCCCCCAGCTCCATAGTCCCACCCCCTGGGGTAGTGCCTTACCCTCCATCTCTACTGCATGCTCAGCATGCCCATTCTGTACAGGGGTTGAGGCTGGACCTTCTGCCTCATCGGCATCCAGGTCCTCCCGCTCCTCCTTGCTGTGCCGGAGACTGAAAACCAGACGGTGGAGCTGGGGAAAGGTGGGAGCAGGGACTGAGTGGGCGTTCTGTTCCCCCAACCCCACACCCTGGTGTCTCATCCACACTAGCACTTCCTAGCCTCTCTCTGTCCAGCCTGCACACCTAGCCCAGGCTCAGCTCAAACATGATGTATGGCTGCCTTTTGCTCTCAGGCTAAACCCAAGCTCCTCAGCTGGGTGTTTAAAGCTCTTGGCCCTGCTTTATCACCCCAGGTCTCCTGTCTGCACCTAAGATTGTAGTACTTTAGACTCCAGTCTTACAGTCCTGCTAACAGTGTCCTTCATGTGGATATTTGCTCATATTTCCTCCTGTTGCCTTTCCCCCCACTTCACCTGTGGAGGCCCGAGCCCATCCTTCAGAGCTTGGCTCTTTCATCCGGTCCCCTACCCCCACACCCAGTCAGCTGTGCCTCTAGGCACTTGCCCTGCAGCAGAACAAGACCAAGCCCTCTTGTGTCCCTCTCAGCCACCAATCATTTCCTGTGTTTTGAGTCCCAAAGGTCATGCCAAGGATGTAGGGGGCTTTACCACTTCCCTCTACAAACTTTTTTCAAGCTACCTCCCCCAAACCACCTAAATAAATGTCACTAAATTAAAAAAAAAAACATTGTGCTTGCTTTGCAAATGCAGCTTCAAACTGGACCCCCAGCCTGCCCTCAATAGTCCTTAACAGAAAATCAGGACCTCTCCACTGGTGTACCTGGAAACAAACTGGCAAACATGGTACCTGTTTGCTGCCTGTCCAGAGGCTGCCACTTACGTGCTTGCGCGGGATGGGTGCTGTGCACAGTGAGACTACAAGAGTGAGGAGGCCAGAGCAGACAAAGAGCACGATGGCAAAGTAGAGGTAATGCACCCCACAGAGGAGAGCTGGGCACAGGGAGGGTTGAACGCAGCTGCCAGAGCCAAAGGAAAACTCCGGAATAAGGCGCGCCAGACCCATCAGCAGGCCCCCAATCAGCCCCCAGAAGGCACCCTGTGGGATAGAGAGCATCAGCCATCTCCGATACCCAAGCCCTGCACCAAGCAAACAATGTACACACATGCTCACTTTCTCATTGACGCGGGGTACAAAGAGCGCCAGCACGAAGACCGCGGACACAGGTGGCGCCAGGTAGCTGGAGACTGACTGCATATAGTCGAAGAGCTGCCCGCCCTGTGCTGCCTGCACCACAGGCAGCCAGGCCACCGACACTGCCACGATGAACACCACCCAGAGCCTGCGGTGAGCAGCCATCAGACTTCACCCAGGACCCCATTCTTTCCCTAGCCCTACCAGTGCTTCCTGTCCCCCTCCCGGGCTGACTCATGGGTCAGGAGGTTGGGGGTGGGGACTCCAGTCTCACCGTCCTACTAACAGCAACTCGCGGTCCCCTGCACGAGGCCGCAGGCGCGTGTAGATATCCATGGTGAAAAGTGTGCTGCTGCTGTTAAAGATTGAGGCCAGCGAGGACATCAGCGCAGCCAGCATGACCGCCAACATGAGTCCACGCAGACCTATGGGCCAATGGGAGCAGTGAGGGTGCGGACTTGGCGATGGGTGATTCCTCCCGGTGGCAGTCTCGGGAGCATGGGCAGGGGGCAACCTGGGTGCTCGCCCTCACCATTGGGCATGAGCTTCACGACGAGCCGTGGGTAGGCGATGTTGGAGCAGCCCACCTCAGTGCCGCACACGCGCTTACACACCTCAGGCACCACACATGCCACTTCGTCTGGGGGAAAGGGCAGGACACAGCTAGGATGCGTCCGGGAACTTGGATCCCTAAAGTGGGGCTGAGAATTCTAATGGAGGTGAGGTGGAATTCCTGAAAGGAGGTGGGACTGGATGACCGAATTCCCAAATCTTAGGACTGCAATGGATATAGAAAGCAGGCACCCGGATCCTTACACAGAAAGGGTCTGGATGCGGGACAGTACCCTTGGTCAGGTCAGGGTGCATATGTTACCTGGGTAAAGGATGCGGCTGATCATGCCCGGCATGACCATGAGGAACATGGGCATCAGCTTCAAGTAGCCGCACAGGATGCAACCTGCCTTGATGTGGGTCAAGTTCTTCCCCGCCAGGCAGCGCTGCACGATGACCTGTGACCAGGAGCGTTCAGCTACCTGTAGCCACTCCCAGCTACTCTACCCCTCAGGCCTTACCTCAACTTGCTCCTGCCTGGCTCAGGGCTGCAGTAATTCTGCTCCATATACAGCCCTGGCCAGTTGGATCCAACTTCCTGGAGTTTAGCTCCACCCAGCCAGGGTCCTTGCCCTGTCAGACCACGCCTTGACCCAGCTCTCACAGCGGGTTTCAGGCTCCACCCACCTCAGATCCGTGGGCCCCGCCCCCAAGTGCGCACTGTAGTTCTGGTTCTGCCAGAGCCTGGCTCCGCACCTAAGCCCTGACCACGCACCTGGTCACTGCACCAGTACCAGCCAGAGACGATGGTAAGTCCCAGGAGCAGAGCGGGCCACGGTAGGTCCCCCGTGACAGGGTCCCGGAGCAGATGGTAGGAGTCGGGCCGAGGTTGGTAGCAGGAGCTGGAGATGTTGCCCACCGCCGGATCCTCGGACACCGTCAGCGACGTCATTGCCCCCAAGTATTTGTCGAAAAGCCCCGAATACCCGCCCACCTCGTGGAAAGCTGTGTGGGCAAGACCATCAGGGGACCTGGCACCCTGCCAAGACCCTCCCTACGGCCCACATGCCTGAGACATGGGATGTCCCAGCTCCCAGAGTGAAAGCCCTGTAACACGTGACCTCCGTGCCCCTCCCCCCGAGGGACATACCGTAACCCATGAGGATGAAGGCCCCCCCGAGAATAACGAACGTCTGCACGGTATCGGTGTACATCAGCGCTGCCAACCCTCCTGCAATGGTCCTGGGTCAGTGGGGACAGCCCAGACAGGCCGTTCCTAGTACAGACGCTGTCGTTTTAATATGGGAAAGGTGCACCTTCCTGGAGAACAAATTTCCAAAACGATGGCCCATTTCCAGCCTCATGCACTCAGGAAACAGAAGGCAGGGCTTGGTGAGCAGAATTTGCCTGAGTGACGCTCTTATCACATCTCCCAAGCCTACTCCCTTCCCCAAGCCCCTGCCACAGCCACCTGTCACAGTGTAGACCATGGTGATGCTCAGGAGCGCAATGACGGAGGCATAGATGTTCCAGCCCAGAGCCTGTTGAATGAATACTGCCCCGGAGAACATGTCCACCTTGGGGTGAGCAGAGAGCACGCAAGTCAGGACCCAAGGGCCAGGGCAGGGCCCCAGGTTCATTTCCTGCCCAGACCACAATCCTATGGTGGCCATGCCTCAAAGGTTCCCTCATTTTTCCACGGCCTGGTCTTCGCAGGACCCACCCACTGTGGCCATGGCTCCAGAAATCCGTGCCTTCCAGGCCCTGCCTCCATCAGGATCTTACATCCATTTCTCCTTGGACCCGCCTCCTCCAAGGCTTTCTAAAGACCTTGACCCAGTGATCCCGCCCTTTCAGGGACCACAGCCTGGTTCCACCCGCCGCACGTGCGCACCGAAATCTTGGTGAAGATGTACAGAAAAAGCGATAGCATGGACAGGTAGAGCCGAATACGGTGGCCACCGAAGCGCTTGCGTAGGTACTGCGGCATCGTAATGACTCCAGCGGTCAGATACACCGGCGCAAAGAGCCAGCCGAGCAGCAGCACCACAAACAGCGCCTGTGGGCACAGTGCAACAGCTGAGAGTGACTCCCTGAGATCCTGCCCTGAGCACATCCCTGTTCCCCAACCCCCCCTCACCCCCCGCTGGAGTATGAGAGACCTTCACTCCATAAACGTGCTGTTCTAAAGTCCTCATTGGGGCCCAGAGGATAAAAATACAGACGATATCTCTAAGCCCTGGGCATTAAGGAACATGATCTTGACACCTTGAGCCCTTAACTAGAGCCCTCCTTGCCTTTCCAGGCCATGAACCCTAGCCAGTCCTTCCCAAGATGGTCCCTAACCCCTACCCTCAGGTACGTGAGTCCAAGCACAGCCCCCTCAGCCTGACTCCAGCCTCTGCCAGGAAGGGCTGCTTCCACTCTCCTCTCCATTCAAGAAACCACCAAGGCTCAGCTTGGAGGCCTCCTCCAGAAAGCTCTGAGCTCAAAGTCCTTATTTCTCCAGCTTTCCAAGGTGAGTCTCAGTCCCAGAGCTTTGTCTCCCTCCCACTTCTGCAAGGGGCTTTAATTTGGCCCAGAGATCTTCATTGGGCCACAACTTCAGAGGGCATAAGAACAAGCACTTCACTATCTTTGAGGCTGTTCACCCCACTTCAGATAGGAGTAAATCAAGGCCACAGAAAGTAGCGGCTGGTCCAGGCTCAAACAGCAAGTCAGGAGCAGGACATATCCTTATCCTGGAAGTGGTCAGTTCCTACATCCCTCTGCCTCCATGCTGGACATGTGATCCTCATGAAGCCCAACCCCACCCCACAATCTAGCCTCACATTCTCTCTGCCTGGAGCCCACTTAGGCATTACCCTTCCAAAGGTTCCCACTGGGGGTGAGGGTTATTGGCAAAAAGGGGGCCTCACGTTCCATTCAAATCCAGCCACAGCCAAGCCGCTTGCAGCACCTGTCCCTGCAAGGCCCACAAAGTGGCCACTGCCGATGTTGCTGGCGAAGAGAGATGCCCCAACCTGGGTGACCAGAGGTATGAGTGAGCCAGGCTGCTTCTCTGGGCCCCCTCCCACTTCACAGCCCAGCCTGTCTCACCGGCCACCACACCATGCTTCGTCCTGCCAGGAAGTAGCCGCCCACGGTGCCTCTGTTGGTTCTGCACATGGACTGGGAGACAGGAGTTGGAGAAACCTGGGCTCAGGGCATATCTCTGGACCTCATTAGCCTCCTCAACACATTCCTCAGCCTTGTTTCAGGCTGAAGATTAACCAGTGCTCAGTTCCCCTGACGGTTCACAACCCACCCCCACAACCCCTTCCCAGGCACCAAGAGCCACCCACGCCCTAATCTGGTGTCCAACTACCCAAGCCTGAGTGTGACTAGATTTGGCCTGACTTCTCTGGGGGCTTTGGATCAGGCCTATGGGCTCTGGTCAGCCATAATGTAGACAGGGAAACAGAGGAGTCATTCAAAATGCTGTTGCTGAGGAAAAGTCTAGCCCAATCCAAAAGGGAAAAGACAAAGAATGGGTGTTGGTTAAGCCTCCCTGAGGCTATCAAAAGACTTACCTGTGAGGGTAGAGGACAGTGGAGAGACTTACTTGCTCCTTCTTCCCCAGCCCCTGGTTTCTCCCTCAAAGATCGAGGCATCCTACCCCTGTTGCTACCTGAGGTCTCCCTGAGACTTCCCCCTATGCACCAGAAACCTGGCCCCCAGCAGCACCCCTCAACTTCTCACCCACAAGCCAACACCAATGACCAGCAGGAAATAAGCAGCAATGACCAGGATGTCAGCAGGGTTGTCAATTAAGGCCCTCTGCTCCCCCAGCTCTGGTGGCAAGCCTGCCTCTGTGTGCTCCTCCATTCTGGCCAATATCTGCCTCTCAAGGGACCAGCCCTTGGATTCTCCCAGGGGAGAGATTAATGGTTACCTCAGGTGCAGTGAGCTGACAAATCACCCAGGCCTTGTCCCCTCTCCCTGGCTTTGTTTAACTGAATCAGGTCACATCAAGACTGAAGACTGGTCTTGGGGAGGTGGGCCCTTTCAAGTTCAGGAACAGTCCTTCCTGGGCCTTATCCCCCACCCTTTCCCCAGGGCCTCAGGCTCAAAAGCACTTCATCCCCTAAAACTGCCTACTTTTCAGCCTTGACCAAGGGAGCCTGGCTGAGCCAGTCCACTGGTCCTGACTAATCCAGAGGGGATCACCTTCCAACACTAACCTGACATTATCACACCCCTGCTCAGAAACACTCCATAGCTCCCCATCACACTCAGGAGGAAGCAGAAGCTCCTCAGCTTGATGTTCAATGCCTGCCATGCTCCAATTCCTGCCCAGCCTTTCCCTTGCTCCCATACCAAATCTAGAGTTTCCTTCTATTTCCTTTCTACTCCTTTGTTCCGCTCAGCCTGTGTTTTTATGCCCCCAAACTGTTGCATAAGTTGTACCTTCTGCTTAGAGGCCTCCCTGCCTCCCAAATGGCCAACTCCTACTCAGTCTTCAGTACCCAGCTCATGTTACCTCTTTAGGAAACACTTCTCTGACTCTTCTGATGCAGTTCCAAGTGCATAGTATGGCCCTTGTCTGGGTCCAGGTCTGTTTCCCAAAAAGGCTAGAGCCTCCCCAAGAGCTGGAAATGATCCAATTTATCTCTGGCATTCTATTGCTCAGCACAGGGCTAGATACAAGAAGGGAAGGCATTGCTGAATATAGCTGTACCTCCCTCTGCCTTTCTTCAGGAACTGACCAGACTTGGAGGTCTGACTACGGCAGTTGGGTTTGTGCCTGAGACGGGGAATATAATGAACTATGTTTAAGGAGTGCCTTAAAAAGCAGACCCCAAAATGAGAATTGGAGTGCAAGGGCTTTACCGGGGAGGTGATACCAATAAGGGCTGTGAAGGGGCTGGGAAGTAAGAAAAGCCAATAAAGAATGTGTCCACTGACAGGTTACCGCTGTGAACATTGGAACACAATCCCAATGGGGGACCCTCAGACAGCCAAGCAGCTAGGGTATTTCTTCACCAGTTCCAGTCTCTAACCAGTTGGAGCTTCTAAAACCTCCCCACCCACTTCAGCCCTGAGGGACACAAGAGCAGGCTCCTTCCACCAGAGAGCACCCTCAGACAGAAACTCAGGGAGCAGCTAGGGAGACTGGGTGTAGGCGAACTGTCTACCCAGGTGGGCCAAGCCAATACAGAAAGGGCACCCACAGTGTCTGCTTCCAAGAATGATGAATTTGAAGTGCCTGAGAGAAATGCAGTGCCTCACTGTGGCCTTCAAAGCCTGTCATGATGGGACACCTGTTTCCTCTTTGATCTCACCTCCTGCCACTTTCCACCTTCCTCACTCTGATCCAGCCACACTGACCTTCTTTCCTTTTTCCCAATATGCTAAGCTCGTCCTACCTCCTGGCCTTTGCACTTTCTCCTTCCTCTGCCTGGAATGCTCTCCTCAGGCTCTTTGCCTGAGGTTGGCTTTTTCTCAGCCAAGTCTCAGCTTAAACATCACATTTTCAAAGGCTTTCTCTGACTATCTGGTTAAATTAATCCCTGCCCCACCTTCTCTTAGTTCTCTAATTTTTTTCCCTTCTCATTTCCCTGCCTTTCCTTTCTTCCTTGCTCCTCCCTTCATTAACAAACATGTACTGAGCACTCACCACATACCAGATACCATACTAGACACTGGAGAGACAGTGTCATACGACAAAAACATATGTCATCTGACAAGTTCTTGGGAGCTTGTATTCCAGTTTCAGAAACAAACAAACAAGCAACAAATAAGCATGTATTTGCAATAGTGATTAGTACTAAAGGACTAGGGAGGTACTAGGCAGTCACAGAAGTCCTATTACTTCATCACTTGTCACGTCTCCCTTACTAGATAGACTTCAGCTCCATGAGGGCAAGGACCATGTTTACTTGGTTCCCTGTGGTCCCCCAGCACCTGGTATGGAGCCTGGTGTAATAAATATTCAATAAATACTTGGCAAATAAATGAATGGAGACTGGAGGTGACCAATTTGGGTATCCTCAAGACAGGGAGGTGGCTAGAAGCCAGGGGGTGGACAGCATTGGCCAGGGAGAGTATGTGGAAGGAGAAGAGCAGGAGGCCAGGGAAGACCCGGGGAGAGGAGCCTGAGAGAGGAAAGGATCTGGGGGTCCGCCTGAGGTATGGATAGATAACACCTCACCTGCCTCTTGCCCACACATGCTGTTTTTGGGTGCTAACTCTTTCTTGAGCTGGAAGTGGCTCTGAAGATCCATCATTTCCATCCTCAAAGGCCCCTATAATTTGGACCCAGGAGTCCATGCCCCCTCCCTAGGGGGCTTCAGGGAACAAGGCGAAGGTTCGGGGGCTCAGAAAGGTCTCTGGGTCTTGGGAATTCAGATGGAGCCTGGATTTCTCCACACCTAACCCCCTCCCATCCTTTTCTGCTGGGACTTTTCTCAGGTGTCACCTCCTTCAGGAAGCCTTCTGTGACTCCCAGTTAGAAGCCTCCTTCTGGCTCCTCAAGCCCCCAGTGCTCCCCTCAGCCACTGCTCCGGTCACACAGAATGTCACCCTCTGCCTGGGGGAGATGTTATGAATCAATACTGTAGTAAGAGGGAAGCTGTGCCTTAGTGCCCAGATTGAAAAGGTGGGCATAGATTGGCACTTCCGGATGGAGCCCACCTCTGACGGTCTTATAAAAGGGGGAAAACCCACTCCCTGGGAATCACACAAAATGGGAGGGCCAGGGGAATTGGGAACAGTTTAAGCACTTATTTCAAAACTATAGAGAGCTGAAGAGGGTCGGAGGCGGGGAAGTGGAAATAGGAAGGTTCTAGGGGGCCCAGCTTGAGCTCCTGTGCGGGCTCTGCCACTATCTTTACAAGGTGGCTCTGGTCCCGGTCCTCTCCAGCATCAGGTTCATCAGATACGCGAAGGCTAAGGCTGCAGGTCTCGCTCCAGCCACAAGGTGGTGGCCTCGAACCGGCTGCAGAAAGAACTTTCACAGGGGGCGGGGAGTCCCGATGGATGAAAGGTTCGCCAGTGCATACACAGCGCCAGTGCGACGTGGACTGTGTTTATGTAGATAGAAAAAAAATGCACAAAGCAGTGGGGCGGGCGGGGTGGGGGGGAGAGGGAAGGGGGTGGGGGAGGAATGTCCCAGCCGGGCTTCTGATCAGTGGTAATTGCAAGGGCCTTCCTGCAGTCGGGGTTCCCTTGAGGGTAGGAATAAAGTGAAGGACTCAGGAGGGGTGCTAGTCAGTCTGTGTCCCACTCTGGGGGGCGTGTGACCTTAGGATTGGCCTGGAAAATGTAGAGTAAGATACCTTAGGGGTGGGTCTCTACAGTGGGTAGTGCTTATAGGGTGGGGTTAGGGAAAGCCCCAAGCTCAAAGAGCTAGGCACTGGAGTCTCAAGAGCTCGGGCTTTTGGGGAAGGGTGGGGTTTTGGGGACTGAGAGTCAGCCAAAGAGCTTGAGGAAGCAGGGCTGGCAGTAGGGCTTGCCGGCGCGCTCTTGGAAGGAGCCCTTGGTGAGCGGGCGCAGGCAGAAGGTGCAGGTGAAGTGGTCCGGGTGGAAGCGGCGGCCAAGCGCAGACACACAACGTCCGGTCACCGGGAGGCCACACGTGGCGCACAGCGAACCGCGCCGCGCGTGGAAATGGTTTTCACACAGTGGGCGGCCCTCGTGCTCGTAAAAGCTGCCTGCTGAGAAGGGCGCGAAGCATTCCTGGGGAAAGGCGTCAGTGGATCAGAGACTGAACCGTCACCAGACAGCTCAATTTACGAGTCGAATAATCCCTCTCCATCCGTCACCCCACAGTCCCACTGAGACGAAGCCTCGCCTCTAGGTACACCCAGCCCTGAATAATCACCCACCTCGAGATCCTAGGTCCCCGCTCCCTCCCTCCCCGCCCCCACCCCCTTGGCCCATCAACCCCAGGCCCCGCCTCCACAGAGCGCACCCTGCAGACGAAACAGTCTGGGTGCCAGAGTGCACTGAGCGCTGAGATGTAGTTATCCAGAATGGGGCCTTGGCAGCCTTGGCAGCGTGGGGCGAAGAGCTGCAGGAAGTCCCGGCGGCAGTATGGGCGGCCCTCGCGCTCGTGAAAACCTAGGGGCGCAAACCGAGTGGGCTGAAAGAAAATGGTCCTACACGGTGTGAAAACTGTGGGGCCAGAGTGAGCAGTAGGGAGAGAGGGAACAGGTCTGCGGAGAGGTGGGGGTTGAGGGGGGTGCAGAGCTGAAGAGGATGGGATGGGAACCCACAGGAGGGAGAGTTTGGGGCCAGAAGAGAGCAGGAGAAAATTCATGGCCCCAAGGACTAAGGAGGCCTTAGTGAACTGAGCCAAAGGGTGCAAGGTGGGATGTAAAGCAGACCCACAGCTTTGAAGGTGGGAGTCAAGCTCACCCTCATCTCCAAAGGGCTCCCCGCAACTGACGCAGCAGAAATGCTCTGGGTGCCAGTGGGTGCCCAAGGCAGTAACCATCTTCTGTAGGAAATGAAAGTGGACACTCAGTGTTACTTTCCATCCCTTCTTCCCTCCCTCTCCCACCCTGAGCCTAGGTGAGTGGGTTGAATGAACTATGAGTTGAGGCAAGGGTGACCTAAGGAGGAACTTGGGAGTCAAAGAGAGAAGGCAGAATCTGAAGGAATGTGGAAGAGGCCAAGATGCAGGGCTGCCTGGGTGGGAGGGGGGAGGGGACTGTGAGTGGAAGAAGCCTATCTCACAGGCTCCTTGGGTGAGACAGTGCAGGAGCTTGTGGGCCAGGCAGGGCTCACATGTCGAATGGGTTGATTGCAGAGGCCACATCGTGGGGAGAAGCGCTCGAAGTAGCACTCAGGGCAGAAGGGGGCTCCATCCTTCTCGAAGAAGCTGCTGCCTCCCAGGGCGGTGGAACAGCCACT